GTCAGGAGGAGGGAAATAATGTGAAATACCAGACTGACTTCTCCAATGAAGTCGCTGTGTCAGGGCAGCTTCTAACCAACAGCGCAGAAAACAGGTGCCAACACACTTTGACATTCAAAAGCAGAATCCAAATCCTTTTCATTCATTCCCTTCGAAGGTTCAGACACTTGGGTTTCACTGTTTAAGGGCACATTTTAATCACTGATATTTTGTGCTTTCCAATGGGGTGTTACTGCTCAGGCTGCAACATCAGGGGCTCCCCAGACAGCAGAACCCACTCCACAAAGTGAAGTAAGGAAGGGAAATGTGTGGGAACCCACCACGAATTAGTTGTGAGCAGCTTCCAAAAAACTGACCAACTCTTCTGAACAGCAGCACATTTGAGGCCGAGTCATTCCTAAATGATAGAGCAGGGAAATGCATTAGCTGAAATTATTCATTGCAAAGCTCTTACTAATCCTTTTCCCAGCCCTGCAGAAGCACAGGGGCCTGAGTAAATTTTAATATTATATCAGGTGGCCATTCCTATCAAGACACAATGCACTGTGCAGGGACCATCCTTAACCAAGACATGGTACCCAGTGATTCAGGGGAGGCTGAACCTTCCCAAAAGCTCCCAAAGCTCCCCAGGAGACACCTGCAGTGACACGCGGCCAGGGCTGGGTCAAACAGAGGCACAGAAAGAAAAATGCAGTTAATGTCACATGGCACCTTCACATTTCTCTCCCAACCTGATGAATTGATTTGCATGGGAAACAAAATGTTAAATATGGGAGCTTTGCATAGGCATGGGACCTCTCCTGATCAGCTTTCTCATGGGAATAGTTTGAGGCTGTATCCCTGTTCTCCTGAGAGGGTCCCAGATCCATCTCCCTATCAGGACTCAGCGATTTGGAAAGCACAGAGATAAACCCAAGATTCTTTCCATCCTTCCATTTGAAAAGGCCGATGACGGTGGTTCCTAGAGAGGCTCTTTGACACGGGGACTTGGTTCAGGTTGTGCATTCAAGATAAAGAAAATACCTGTATAATCCCCTCTGGGAAGAGAGGATAATTACAGAGTGCGGGTTTGAAATACAGCTGATGGCTCTGACCTCCTTCCCTGGACCATCAATAAATACCTCTCTGCTGAAACACCAGGAAATTGGAGCAGCTGAACTCTGCAGCACCTCCTCCTCGAAAAAGGGCTTTTAGAGGGATGGCGGGAGCAGCTGCCCCTGGCTCACCCCCACATCCCGATATTCTTTATGTATGTGCCTCCATCTTATAATTTACATCAGAGACATTCAAAAGAAGGTTAGGTGAGCTCACTGACAGCTCTTCCTGGAAGACAACAGCAATCCCTCACCTCTGCAGCACTTCCATCAGGGGCTGCCCACAAACATCCCTCAGCCAGAGCTTCCCCCGCTGCCCGCCCAGGGGGGGCAGAGCGGCAGGACCCCCGCGCAGGGAACAAACAGCTTGGGGCTGTTCTCACCGCAGCTGCAGAGTCGTGGAAGCAAAACCTCGGCACCTGCAGCAGATTTGGAGGGTGCCGGTGTCCCCCGGCAGCGCAGAACGGCTCCGGTGTCTGTCCCGCAGCGATGCCCGAGGCAGCCGAGCTGACCGGGGCACGGCCCCGGAGAGGGGCGGGGGGGCTGAGAGGCTTTGGGGGGCCTGGAGACAGCGCTGCGGTGCCTGAAGATGAGCGATTGCTTTATCCCAGGTTGTCTCCTGGGGCTATTCACTGATACCTCTTTAAAATGCAATCTCAGCTGTAGCACACCCTAATTTTTAAAGGGATGTCTCAACAAAAGCTCCAATATTCCAGGGATTCCGCCTTCCCGAGGAGGAGAATTTACCTGTAATGCATCTGAGGAGAGAAGAAAACTGACTTGTAAGACGGGCAGCGATTTGCATGTTCCCTCTGGACTTGTTTTTCCCCTCGCAGCACCCCGAGCTCCAGCTGGAAATGGAACAGAACAAATAACACCACGATAAGCAACTCAATTCCCAAGTACCACAGATTTTCCTGCTTACGAATCATTTTGCAAGCAGGCAGCACATTTCTCCTGTGGAAATGAGTCAGTACTTTTTTTTTTTTTTTTTTTTTTTTTGGTAGGCAAAGTTTCTTTTCCCTTAAACCCAGAGGTCGGTGTTGTGCTGCCAAACCCCGAGCACTGGCACCGGCGCCTGTAGCTCCCGACAGCACCTGCACGCAGAGCCCGAGCTGCAAACGCACCTTTTTCACTGAATATTTACATATCAAAGTGGCCATTTCCAGGAATCACAGGGGTAATTTCAGCCACAAACTTTTGTGAACACAGATGAGGAGGTGGCGGGAGAGCAGGAGCTTGGGCATGGAGCATCCTCAACCCAGAGCCTGCGAAGAAGGAGGTCCAGGGATGTGGATTGGTCTGTGCTGGAACTCCTCAGGGAAAAGCACGAAGTTCTCCAAGCCTTTCTAGGCAAAAGCCTTTGAAGAATGGGTTTGTTTTGCTCCTTCTGTGTGACCTGGAACTTAAAAGCCAAGGGAGCCACCTCTGCAAGCCAGAACAGAAGTGGCAGAAACTTCGTGGTTTCTTTTGGAACACTTTGAAGGCACAAGGCTCCTTGCTCCATCCACAGGATTCACAGCCAAGGGATCCATTCAGAAGTGGTTTTAATCTTTCTCCTGGCTGTCTCCTGAAAAACCCTCACAGAGACATGGCTGTGACATTCCATCCCACCCACAGCATCGCCAGAGGTGCCAGGACCTCGTGTTGTTCATGGGAATTGCCTTTCCACGCTTGTCTGCTGCTCCAAGGAGCACATCACATCCTGTGCTCAGGCCATGGACCAGCTCCTCCTGGCTACATTTGCCACCCAGGGAATTCTCACCTGAAGAAAGCTCTCACCAGAGATCACTTGGCAAGTTTTAATTGGGTATCACAGCATCCCTCCCAGGTAGACATTATTATATTATATTATATTATTATCTCCAATTTGTTGCTGGAGACAGTCAAGCCCAAATTGGGGTGGTGACCTGCCCTGTGTTGTAACACAATTCCATGCTGGCTGTGCCAGACACAGGGAGACAATCCCAGGCAAGCAGTGTCCTCCAGCTCAGGGAAGTCAAGGGATGAAGCTTTTGGTGTTCTTGGGCACCAAGAACTGTTTGGAATCACCCTCTCTCTCTGTATCAGGGGCTTTTGTGCCACAGCAGATGGAGTTGTATGAGCTTCATCATCTGCCAGTTACACCCAGGGTACGTTTAAAAGACAAACCAGAGCTGACTCAGCACAAAAAAGGCACCTCTGGTGGGAGATCACAAGTCCTGTGGTTCACAGGGAAGACAAAGCCACATGTACCTGCTGTGAGCACTGAGGCAGGTGGTTGGTGTGGGAGTTCATGTCTCTCTCCACTGCTGCTCAACACACACCTGAAACAGGGTGCATTGCAAGGGGCACCTTGGGGTGTTAAAGGCAGCAGAGAGATGCTGAGCCTGATGGACACGATTCCTGGGATGTTGTACAGAAGAAGTGAGAATTGTTTCCCTTCCCACACTCAGCAAGGGGTTGTACACCTGCTATTGCCACACTGCCCTTCCCAGCAGCCAACTCCAAAACCCCAGAGCACCACGGGCCAGGACAATGTGGTGACAAACAGCTCTACCCCACAGCACCAACAGAAAACCCGGAGCCATAAAAACAGAGGCTGTGCTTGATCAGTCTGCAGCACAGACCCTCCCAGCACTTGGGCAGTAGCTAAAGCCTGCATTGCTTAGAGAGGCATCCCCACAGGCTGGAATTGCACACACACACAGATCATGCCCATGTACCTGATCTTTGGTAAATCATTTAACTTGCTCTGTGCCTCAGCTTTCCCCAGCTGCACTAAGGAGCCGGCTCGAGCCAGGAGTGATTTTATGGCTTTGGTGGCTGGTGCTGTACCAGCACCAGGCTGAGGATTAGTAATGCATGAAGCTCTTTGAGGTCTGCCAGAATAACCTTTTTCCAAAATCAGTTTTCCGTTTCCAACCCAACCCCCCTGAGCTGTGGCTGCCCCACAGTGCTCACCTGCATCCAGGAGCTCGGCAGGTCAAAGTGCTTCACAGGGGCTTTAGTTGGTGAGATCTGCAGCCAAGCTCACCTGGATTTGCTGAATTAGAAGTAGCAGGATTAACCTGAATAAACAACCATCCAAAGGGAAAAAAACACTTGGCAGCTAAAGAAGAGAGCAAAAAAATTTAGGGGGGCAGAGTGAAGCAACTAAGCCTCAATAAATAATAAGTGCAGATGGCAAAGACCTTCCACTTCCCAGAGGCTTTCTGAGCAGTTGCTGGTGGGCTAACATCTCCTTCCCCTTTCTTTGGCTGAATCAGCCCAAACCCAGTTTGTACCCTGCCCTTTATACCTTCCTGGGGTGTGGTGGGGTGACCCATGTGTGCCCCATCCCTCTCATCAGGCAGGGCCGGAGGGGCACTGGTTTGGGCACCAGTATCCCACCCTTCCCTTGTCAACCTGTGTAAAGTGTGAGCGAGCATCTCTGGGATGTGTTTCTGCTGAAAACCCATGGTCAGGGTTCAGGGGGATGAGCAGGGTGAGAGCCTGTGGGAAAGGTCCTCCCCCACGCCAAAAATGGGTGTCTCTTATGGCTGATCCCAGAGAACCTCAGAGGGGGTGACCAGCGCAGTGACACGATGTGACATTTCTATTCCCAGCTGCAAAGCACCCCGTGGGGTTTGGGTCCGTGCCGTGCCCGGCTGCCCCCCTGCCCCGCGGGGCCCCCGCTCGTGCTTGGGGCCGTTCAGTGCCTCAAACCCCGTCACCAAATCCCCGTCTGGCTCCCGTGGGTCGTTTCTCTGCGCCGTGGCCGGGGTGACCCCTCGGCACGAGGCTGTGGGAGCAGCACCGGCGGGGTCAGGAGCCTGCAGCCCCCCGGCCCGGCCGGGAAGGGCGCAGGGGGTCGGCGCCGGGGGCGTGGGGCTGTCGGCCGCGCTGAGCCCCCCGCCCGCTCTCATGCTTCCTTCTTGTCTGCAGGCTGGCTCAGGTGCTCCGATCACCTGCTGCTTGCGGGAACGGGAAAGCAGCAACTGAAGATCGAGGGGGACTTTTGGTTTACTCAGATGACAAGAGACAATTTTGGTTCCCCAAAAGCCAAGGAAACAAAGCTGTCAGGCTTTAATGGTAGCTTGTCTCCCTCCTGCAGCATGTTTATGGGCAAACAAGCTGCAGATCAGACCAGGCAAACAGCAGCAGGTGAGGCCAAATAACAATAATTCATAATTAATGGCGAATGTGGCTTTGTTTATTCTTGTTGTGTTGAGGCAATGCTAATGGATGAAGCTGTTACAGGACTCTGGGGACCGGCTCAGTTCCCAGCACTGCCGCCTGCTCTGCCCCTCTCTCACCCCTCGTGTGCCCCGTGAGGGCACGAGCTCCCTGTGACATGGGTGCCCTGTCCCACACTGCACGAGCCCAGAGTGACGGGGCTGTGGCCTCGGCTGAGGCCTCGAGGCAGAAGAGCAGTGCCAATATCCATGCTCAGTGCCAGTGCCTGGCCCCGTTTGCTCGTGGCCTGGAGCGGGGCCGACCCCACTGCACTGGGGCCGGGGCACAGCTTTCCAGGGGATTTGTTTCTCACAGTAGCACCATCCCTAAAAGCTCCAGTCCATGTTTGCCAAGTGTTGTGGTGTCTCCATGCTGCACATCAGCATCACCCGTGCCTCCCCACCATGTGGGGCGACCAGCAAATGCACCAGAGACGCACCCAACCCCTCCCCAGCCCTGTTTTCCGTGGGCTCCAGTGTTAACTCGCACTGGTGCCAGATGGGTTTGCCCCCTCCCCAGACGCGCCGTGTCCCTCGGGTGTGTGGTGAGGCACAATCCCTCTCCCTGCATGGCTCTGCCATCCCTCGGTGTGTGCAGGTCCCTGGCCACGCATGCAGCTCGAACACAGCCCCTGCATGATCACGGGCATGCACAGAGACACCCGTACAACACGCCTGGCAGAGGGGGTCACCTATGCACAGCCCTTCATACGACACTACAGGCAACACCTTCCCCCCTAGGGGGGCTGGCTTGGGGGGTGGTCCTTGCTGCAGCAGAACCCCCACGCTGGGACCGGGACCTGCAGGGCTTTGGGTATTTGCAAACCACGCTGTGACTTTTGATTCTAAAGGATCCCCTGGAGACTGACCTAACCTGTTCTGGGACTGTGGAAGAAAGCTTTGAAGTCGCTGCTTCCTGGAAATAGTTTTGGTTTCCTATGTCTCATGGGGATGTTCCTGTACTTGTTCTTCCCTGAACATCCCTGAACCAGCCTCAGTCATGGCAAACACCCACTGCAGCTGCTGGTTCCAGCAGGGCACTGGTGCATCCCGCCCTTCACTCCCTGACTTTGTCTAAGTTTCATGTTGGGAGGAAACTCCACGTCCTTCAGTTCATTTCCATTCATCCTTTAGTCTTAAAACATGAGCCATTTTTATGTAAAGTGCTGATTTTTGTTGCCACGCTAAAAGTCATTGAGCTGGATTTACAATGTGCTGATTGTAAGCACCCCCTCACAGGTCCAGTCCTGCACCCTCCCCTATTAATTCTGGGTTTTCTGTTTCGTTTTGGCCATGTGTGTTTCCTCTATAAACCCTGCACCTCACCCTGGCATTCGCTGCTGTGTTACTTGCAGGAACCATCTGACTGTGGAACAGTCATTCCCGAGGAACCACAAAGAATGCCAGGGACAAAATGATCTTTGGATTCCTTCAAAACCTGTATTGTTCCCCAAGTTAAATTGGTTATTAGTTTCAGAACATGAAAGCCAAAGAGATTTGGCACAAGTCTCAGCCACAGTTTTAACCTGTAAAGGTTTATTGCGTCTAAGAACGTTTCTTATGGAATGACAAATGGGAAAACTGAGCCCCTTCATCCCTGTGCGACGCCACGGGCCTGATGCAATGCTGCAGTCACCAGTGCCTAACCTCGTGTTAATTGACTTTTGCCCATTAAGTAAAGGGAAGTCTGTGCTGGATAAATTTGGTTTGATCTTCTCAAGCTTCCTTTAAGGGAGGGATGATGAAAGTTCAGGGCTGTGGCTGGTTGTGGGGCTAATCCCAAAGCTGAAGGCAGAGACTCTCTCCCCTGGTTCCCATGGGTGCACGCTGGAAGCACAGCTCTCAGCCAGCCCAGCAGCTCCTGGATTTGGGGCAGGGAATGGAGGTGGTGGCTCAGGGGGTTGATCCTGCCCGGTGGGACACAGCGTGTGCCAGGCAGAGCTGGGATGCAGCCAAGATCCTGGGAGGGGATCGGTGCCCCAGACAGGGGGACCAGCCACACTTCGCCCTGCCAGCCACCTCCACGGAGCACCCAGAGGGGGCAGGGAGGGGAGCTGCTCACAGGTCCAGCCAGTGACACTGTGGACAGTCCTCAGCCTTCCAGGAGACCAGCCCAAAACCTTGGCTTTAATTACAGCCGAGCTGGGAGGTGTGGGAATGCAGGCAAGAGCAGCATCCAGGCTTCTTCCTTTCTGTGACCTTTACTTAGTTTAGTTTCATCATTGAGGAAAACAGGGAACTAACTGAGACATCCCAGCAGCTGTTCTGCTGTTTGTGGATGGCGGGACGTGGTGTGGGAGGCTGCAGAGCTGCCCAGAGTCACCGCTCAGTGTCCCTGGCTCCGGGCTCTCTCAGCCACAGTCTCCCCTTCTCTCTCCCTTCCTTGTCTCCCAGTGCCCATCCCCTCGAAGGCCAACGGCACCACCATCTCCAGCCTGTCAATGAACAAGGATGGCCTGGTTGGAGGGGTGACGAATCCCAACGAGGTGTTCTGCTCCGTGCCCGGCCGCCTGTCCCTCCTCAGCTCCACCTCCAAGTACAAGGTGACGGTCGGGGAGGTGCAGAGGAGGCTCTCGCCCCCCGAGTGTCTCAACGCCTCTCTCCTCGGCGGGGTCCTCCGCAGGTGAGCTGCTCCAAGAGCCCTGGGATCTGTGCTCAGCACCAGCTCTTACCTCTCAGATAAAACAGAGAGGAGAAATTCTGGTGTGCGGTACGTTGGGGAATAGGATTTCTGTTTCTTCTTTTTCTTTCTTTTCAAACCTCAAAGCTTAAACTGGGGCCATGGTTATTTTAACATGAATTACATTGAATTTCCCCCCCCCTTCGTTTTCTCTTTTCAGAGCCAAATCAAAAAATGGGGGTCGGTGTTTAAGAGAAAGGTTAGAGAAAATTGGATTAAATCTACCTGCAGGAAGGCGCAAAGCTGCCAACGTCACCCTGCTGACATCCCTTGTGGAAGGTAAGAGCTGCTCCCACAGAGGGTGGGAGTGCCAAAACTTCCACTCCCTTCATTTCCAGCTTTCCACAAACCAGAATGCTTAAAGTATGGGGCAGTCACCACCAGCTGAGCCTGGGAATGTGCCCTGTGTGAGCCTCTATGCTGATCCAAGCACACACACGTCCTTTAAAATGAACAGACCCTTGGGAAGGCAGAGGGTTGAACACAAATTAAACCAGGACAGCAAATGTCCAAGACAATGTCCAAGCATGGTGGCCCTGCCCATGGCAGGGGGTTGGAACTGGATGGTGTTTAAGGTCTATTCCAACCCAAACTATGGTTCTGTGTCTGTTTTCCAAAACTCAGCCATTTCTGTCGGACCAGCCACAGCCCGTGGGAAAGGCACCCCCATGGATGCTGAGTGGGTCTGGCTGGAGCTCAGGGTACCCCTCTTTTCTGTGAGCTGGTGCTAAAAGTCGGGTCACAGAGACTGAGAACCAAAAAGCTTGAGCAAAGCTGCCAAGATTCCACAGCTGCTCTGCAGCCCCGTGCCCCCACTCCGGACACAACGCTGACCCCTCTGTCAGGGCTCCGTCCCCACCCCGGCTCTGTGCCTCTTCTCCTCATCTCCTGTAAGGAGGAAATGCCCCTCATCCAAGTGCTTCCCTCCTCCCTGGCACAGCAGGGGGGGAGTGAGACATCAAGGAGATGCCAAACAGCTCCGAGGTCTCTCGGGTGGAGCTCAGGTGTGCAGCAGCCGCCCTGCCCTCGGAGCGCGGCGTTAAGGGCCGAGCTACGGAAAATGTGCCTCCATCCCCGCCTGGATGTGTGAGGTGCCCCTGCCCAAAGCCACTCGGTTGTTTCCTCCCCTCCTACTTCTCTGCGCCGTGGAAATGATGATGTCTCCGCTGCACCCTGGGAGGAAAGGACACGGGACACAAACAAACGGAATGACAGCTCCGCCTCCCTCCGAGCTCCGGAATCCATTGTGTCCGTGCCCGGCGCGGGGCAGGCAGCTGCCTGCGGATCCTGAATAGAAAATCATCCCCATTGTCGCCGGCAAATTAAATGACCCGCTTCATTAGGCCGAGGTTGTTACCGAGGGCAGTTGGTTTGTGCTGAATGAAAGGCTGATTTCCATGAAAAGAAAAGAAAGAAGGAAAGAAAAGAGGGAAGGAAAAATGTACAGTTTGAGTTCAGGTGGCTGCTGATGTTTTGGTTCCTGCTTGCCAGCTCATAGTAAATAGGAGTGGTGCCATGTGTGCTTGGTGGATGTAATTTCCTCCTGAACATGTGATGGTACCAGGGATGTTCCACCCAGAGGAAGGTGCTGCTGCTTTCCCTGACCCCTCACACAGAACTGGCTTGTGCCCCTCTGTCCCAGGCACCCCCTTTCCTGGACATTTGCTGTCTTGGCTTAATTTGTTTTCTCCCCTCTGCCTTCCCAATGTCTGACCATTTAAAAGAGCCCCTGAGTTTCTCTTTGAACGCTGATGATGTATTTTTTCTTACACTGACCCACTCACACGATGGGGAGGATGTTCCTGGGGAACCCAGGAAGCACCAGGCAGAAACAGCTCCCTTTGGAGTCCTCACCGAGTACACAGAGCACTCACCTTCTCTTGAGCAACTTCTCCATGAGAGCAGCTCCAGCCTGGACCCAGGGGAGCAGCAGGGCTGTATTTGCACTCCAGAAACACCCCTAAGTTCTCAAAAGAGCCTCAGACAGGCTCCTGTGGCTGCTTTGCCCACCATGGCCCCCGAGTGCTCTCCTGCAGCCTCTCCTCCCCAGGCTCTGGCTCAGTGTGGCTTTAACATCTCTTCCCAAAGCCAGGTTGCCCTGTTCCCCCTGACACCTCCCTAATCCAGCCTCCAAATTGCCTTTAAGACATTCAGATATGCAGCCACTCACACTCATGGAGGAAATAAATCCTGGCTCCAGCCTTGTCTCTGACCACAGGCTCACTCAGCTGTCTTTTATCGTCCCAGTAACAGTTTTCCAGCAGTTGTTCCTTTCTGACTGTCTTTTGACACACAAACAACTGCAGTTCTGATTCTGTAGGTTTACCTTATTTGCTCCTTCTTTGGAGGAGGAGCTGAAGTGGAAAGTGCTGTCCTTATGTGGGAAGCAGGGGCAGTTCCCCCTACCCGAGCTCCAGGATCCAGGCAGGCCGGGCTGGGATCTGGGTTAATGCTGTTAGGATGGATGGCCTAATACGTGTGAGCAGCAGGGGGGCAAGTCAAATTAGCTCTGCCTGCCTGACCTGGATTTTGGGTGTTGGGCATGATCAATGGCCATCAGCTCTGATTATTTCCACGGGGACGACTGGAGATGGATCAATCCCATCAATGGGTGGGCATTTCCACGGGGTGATGGATACGCTGCCTGCACGTCCAGCCCGAGGGCCCCGGCTCACTGTGGGAGGATGTAACCCCCTTCCTCCTGCCCCTTCCTCACAGCCCTGCTTTGTCCTGTGGTCACAGGGCTGAGGTCGCTCTTTCACCCTCCAGCCCCCATTTCTGCTCGGTTTGGAACAGCCAAGCAGGAAATCTGGGAAGAAGAAGGGAGAGAAAGATGCAGTAGGGGATGGCCCCAAGTGAGAAACACCTCTGCTGCTCTTCCTTTCGGAGCAGGTGCCCAGAGTCTCACCTCACTCTGCTCCAAAGCCAGCACCTTCCTGATGCTCTTTTAAAAGGCAGTAAAGGAAGGATCCAGCTGCTGTTTAGAGCAGGCAATGGCTCATTTGGCCCACATGGACTAATTGCCTCACAGAGGAGAATGAGAAACTCACAGTGGTTTCTACACCAAGAGCTGAAGGTGGGGAGAGCTCTTGGGCAGTCACTGCAAAGGGAAGCACCCCAGTCCCACCAGAAATGAGCCCGCCCAGTGAAAAGGCTGAAGCTGCTGCAGAAGTTCTCCCCTCGCCCAGGGCGTGGGCTCAGTGCTGACGTCCCTCTGTCCTGCCCACAGGTGAGGCCATTCACCTGGCTCGGGACTTCGGGTACGTCTGCGAGACCGAGTTCCCGGCCAAGGCGGCGGCAGAGTACCTGTGCCGGCAGCACTCCGACCCCGCCGAGCTGCACACCAGGAAAAACATGCTGCTGGCCACCAAGTGAGTGCAGCTGGCAGCGAGCCACCCGCGTGTTCCGTGCCCACAGCCCGGGAGGGCAAGTGTTGGCCCCCAGAGCTTCCTCTTCTGTGGGGAAGAGAGGGGCTCACACGCTGCAGGAAGATGAGCAGCAAGGTGAAGGGCCTGCAGGGACTGAAGGGCTTGTTCCTCCATGGGAGGGGGTAGCACGACCACGGGGGAGCATTTTGGCACTGCCTCATGTGCCCCTTCAAAGCAGGAGCAGTGGCAGTGGCCCAGCTCTGCACCCAGGAGCTTTCCACAGGCTGGAGCTGAAAAATCCTGGTGGGGAGGAGGTGGCTGTTGGTGCAGGGAGGATGAAAAGAACCCCCAGACACACCCAGAGAAGTTGTGGCTGCTCCATCCCTGGAAATGTTTAATGCCAGGTTGGATGGAGCTCTGAGCCACCTGGTCTAGTGGAAGGTGTCCACGTCAGAGGGGTTAGAACTGGATGATCTTCAAGGTCCCTTCCAACCCAGACTATCCTGGGATTCTATGACTCTGTGTCCTGCAGCTCTCCATGAGCCACCTAATGACCAAACCCTCTCTCTTTCAGACAAATTTGCAAGGAGTTTGCAGACCTGATAGCCCAGGACCGGTCGCCGCTGGGGAACAGCCGCCCCTCGCTGATCCTGGAGCCCGGTGTCCAGAGCTGTTTGACTCATTTCAGCCTCATAACCCACGGCTTTGGGGGCCCGGCCATCTGCGCCGCCCTCACCGCCTTCCAGAACTACCTGGTGGAGTCCCTCAAGGGGCTGGATAAAATATTCATGAACAGCACGGGGAACGGGCACAGCGGGGACTCCAAAGCGTCAGACAAGGAGGTGAAGCATCGGAAATAACGCGCTGCCTCCCCCCGCTGGGAGCTCCCCCCGGGCACCGGGACGGGCAGAGACGAGACCCCAGTGCACTGTTTTCTGAACTGCTGCGTTTGAACGTGGGAGGAAACTCGTGAAGCAAAGAGAGAAAAGGAAAAAAAAAAAAAAAAAAAAAAAAAAAAAAGAGAGATTTAAAGAATTTAAGAAGAAAACAGCTCTAATGGACGTAGTGAGGTTGAGGGAAGTCAGGCTGATGGCTTTGGGGTTTTGCCTTTTTTTTTTTTTTTTTTTTTTTTAAATCGTGGATGCAGGAAGACAAGTCATGTGCAATTTGAGTTTGTTTTGTTTTGTTTTTAAAAAAAACCCGTAGTGAAATCCTGAAGTGCTCCGGGAATTTGCTTCAGCTGAAAAACTGAGAGGAAAGAGGAGAAGCCTCGTCAGTGCAAGACCCAGAGCAGGAGCAGCCAAGGGCAGGGGGATGGAGCACTGGCTGCACCTGGATTTATCCACTGGTTTTGAGGCAAACACACAGGAAACCTTCCCCACCTACAGCCCATCCCTAACGCCAGGCCAAGGAAAATTGCCAGAAGAACTGCTTTGGATTTAAAGCAGGTTCAGACTCCGTTTACAGCTTCAAACTGAGACTCACTGTGGATTTTCCCATGGGCTGAGGAGCCCCAAGCCTTGGCACGAGGGAGGAACAACCCCCCAGCCAACAGGTCCCAAGGAGAGCCCTCCCAACCACTGCCCTCGTGGCTGGGGACAAGGCAGGTGAAGTTAAACCCAGGACTAATTAAACCTCCACAACCTGCAGATAACAGCACACAAGTTTCTAAAACAAACAATAATAGTTAATAAAGCACAAGGAGCAGAACTTGAACCAGGCCAAACTGAACTGTTCTAAATCTGTATATATTTATTTATGTGTAATTAAAATCTGAAAGTTTTAAAATGTCCAGTGCAAGTTATTTATATCGAACTGAGTTGGGTTTTTTTTGTTTTGCCTTTTTTGTTTGTTTGCTTGTTTTGGGTTGCTTTTTTTGTTTTGTTTTGGTTTTTTGTTTTTTTTTTGAAAGATGAAAATCTTTGGATTTTCTGCCATTAGAAATGGGAATGAAGTTTTGGATCCACCAAACTGTAGCATGGACAGGTTAGGCTGTGATGATGATAACTCTAGAAGTTCTGCAGGATTTTGTACTTGCTGTTGTTTCTCTTAATGCTGCAATAGATGTACGACACCCACACCACAATGTCATTCTCATTCTCTTAATAAACCTCTTTTTATTTGAAGAAAGCACCTCCATCGTCTTTGTGAGAAGGATCCTCGGCCTCTGTGGTTGCACCTTGAAACAGATTATGTGGATTAATTATATAGGAATTACATAGATTTAAGAAAGAATCCTCCAGCTTCGTGGCTGGGGTTTGCCTGACACCCCAAAGGGAGCTCAGGGAGTGACAGGAGCTGGAGTTCATGTCCCAGAGTCCCCAGCCCTGGTGCCGAGCCAGCCGGCGCCGCTGGAGATGAGCAGTGAGATGATGTGTCTGCTGATGTTTCAGAACTACTCAGGGTAGTCAAATCTAAACCTGTCTGTGAAGACCTGCAGAAGGACCTCATGGTATCAGTGATAAATTAGAAGATAAAGGAACCCCACTAATCTGCAGGCAATGAAGCTCCAGGTCAGCTGCTGTTCCAGCCACCTCGTGCTCTCAGAGCTCGGAAACAAGCCCGAAGGGAATGGTTAGAAAAGGATTGACAGAGCAGAGAGCAGACCCTGCTGCAGGACATCTGTGTGTGCCCAGGGCCACTCTGTCCTGAATGGCACCTGCAGACCTGGCTGGTTTACCAGCTGGTAAATCCAGGGGGATCTCAGGTGGGAACAGCTGCCATGGGAGGCAGGACCAGGGGTTAGAGCTGCAGGAGGAAGCACATCAGCAGTGTGTGACAGAGGTGTGGAAAACTGCCGGATAAAGGAACATAAACAGGGAAAGATGACACCAAAACGAGAGGCAGGACCCTGTGGAATGGTCAGGAAGCAGCTCTGAACAAGTGAGTCTTACCTGTCTCAGGTAAGAAGCTGTGATGTTCCATGGAAGGAGGTGTAAAACTGGCTTTTGACGCAATGGAAGAGGGTGATTTTAGGGAGTCTTCCCTACACATCCATGGCTCCTCACAGCCAGAGGCTGGACAGCTGGAATGGGACCGAGCCAGGGCAGCACTCCCTATATTGGACCCTTCTCAGAGAGGTACCTGTTGAGTTTCTCTGGAGATGCACAATAGGCTGATGGTAACAGAGGAAAACCCCAAACTGTCCCAAAAGGGCCCACGGGAGGTTTGAAACAAACCTCCTTCCTTTCAGAAAAGTGTGAAAGGAAACATTTCATGTCCTAATATAATTTGTGGGGATGGCTCAGCATCAGAAACTTGCATTTAAATATTCCCTTCAAAGCTTAGGGAGGCATTTAAATTGGGAATTGGATTGGTATGAGGTTTGTGAAAGCAAAGACCTAAATGACGGGCTCTGCAGGTCTGGTTTTGCTCTGGACCTTCCCAAAGGAAGAGCCAAGGAACAGGGAGGAGCCAGGGAGCAGAATGGAAAAACTACAGACACATCAGAGGCTTGTTTACACTTCAAAGCCAGTTTGGATAATTCAGGGTGTGAGCCAAAAGCACAAAAAACTATTCCTATTTAAAATTATTCCAAAGTAGGAGCGCCCTGTTCTGCATCAGCATAATCCACATTTAAATGGATTATGATAAAGGGGAGTAAGGTGCTTTTGTGCTACAATACAGGTTTCCCTACATGGGGTTATTTAGGATAACTATCCTGAAATAATTCCATTTGCAGACATCCTCTGGAGCACAGTATCAGAGCCGAGCAAGCGACGCCCCGACACAGGATGAAAGTGTTTGTGTGCACACTGTAATATACAGGCGTGAAATATCATTTCCTAATTTAATCACATTATGCAAACCTGGCTTGGTTGGGGCACTTTGAATATCAAGGAATTCTTAGACACAGCAGCGATGAGCAACACAGAGAATCAGGATCTGTCTCCAGTAATTACACACCACATCCATGGGGTGGAAAATACCTCCCTCCTCGCTTTCCTCCTCGGGTACCTGCAAGTCTCTGGAATGTTTTATGAGGAACAGTCTGGTGCCCGACAGGCCAGGATGCCTCCAGTGACCTGTGAGTGGGAGGAAGTCGGATGATCTGGATTCACTTGTTGATTCCACCACAGATGCTCAAGACCAGCAATGGACACGTCACGCAGGATCAACTTTCTAAAAGCACTGAAACTTCCCAAAATTTTGGACACACTTCATTCCTGTAGGCCCACAGAGACACCCCAGAAGAGTCAGGGGTCGTGCCAGGCCAATTCTTGTCCCTACTGGAGTTCCCTCTCAGCTCACTGTCAAACGAGGCCATTCCCTGACGTGTCCTCCGCCCTTCCATCCAAACAGAAAAAAGGGAATTTTACACAATTCTGGGCTCAACCCTGGTATAAATTCCCACACTGATTACAAATCTCATCGTGGGAAAATACGTAATTTTGTGTCAAAGAGTAAAAATAGATCCAGGCTCATGGTTTCTACGCTTGTTATAGAACAGGCTGGAATTTCAATCCTAAAGGGAAATTGAAACAAAAAAAGATCTTTTTTGAATTAATTTTGAATGAGTGACAAATCCAGAGAAACCACATGCCAAGCCCTGACAAGTGAAAAAGAAAAGGAACATTATCAAAAACTCCTCAGTCTCTGAGAGTCAGTTGTCCCAAGGGCAAACTGGGGGGAACAAGGAGCTGTGGCTGTGCTGCATCATTAACGCCAGTGAGCAGAGGCTGTGCTGGAATTCCACATGGCTTTGGACACACTAAATAATTACCTCTAAGCAGGCACCTTAAAAGCAACGGGGTAATAACAGCTCTTGGTGTGAAACAACCCAATAAGCAGAGTTTGCTGACCTGTAGTTAATGCATTCCTTCATACAGGAGAGTCCATTAAATTCCCAGCTTTACATGCAGAATCCAAGGAGCCACATGGCCTGTGAGCAAGGGAAGTTTTTCCTGTTAGTGCAACTGAATCAAAACACCAAAACTGGAAACGTTTTCAAACGAGGCAGTAAAATAAATGTTATTTGTGAGGGTGACGCAATGATCCCAAGATTATTGGTTTAGACTTCGTGTTCCCTGTCCAGGCTGCACATGGAACATGTGGAGCCTTCATTATCCCAACAGAGCTGGCAGAGAGGCTCTGAACCTGGCCATCACCTGGCACCTGGCCATGCTGAGCCAGAGGGTACCATTTTGGTCTTCCTGCCTCACCTTTATATGGTGAAGAATTCCCACTGCAGCCACCTGAGCATCGCCCCATTTCCAACAGGACACCACAAACAGCAATAATCATTCCAGACACTGAATATCCACCCAAGCTTTGTCCCTGTGATCGTGGTGCTGAACCACCCCAGAACCTTTCCAAGGCAGGAAAAATTATGGCAGTGCTATTCTGGGTGGATGTATGGCTTTATCCTGACACCTTCAGATGCTTCTCAGCTGATTATTTTCCAGCAGAGAAAAGGCTAAAACGACACCCTGAAATCCAGAAGGATTTCCCATCAGGAAGAATATTATTTCATTTCCAATGATAAAAAGTTCTCTCCTTTAAGAATCCCTGTTCCACTTCACTGCCCGCTGGTTCCACATGGAAGCAAAGGGAGAAAGACATTCCAGCAGGGAGCAGGACACATGGGATGCAGGTGCTACTGAGGAGGAGGAGGAGGCTGCTGGAAAGGCCAGTTTGCTCGGTTTGGACCATGAAAACAGCCTTTCTTACACCCTCTTGGCAATGTGCTGCTGTTTTGCCTCTTAAATGGACCCTGGCACCACAAGGAATTGCTTCAGCCCAGGCCTCCCACTCCTGACCCATTTTCATTTCATTTCCTCTCCCCAGCCCTGTCATATGGCAGCAGCACATTATATATTATATATTATGGCTTTTGGAGTTTCCTGCTAATTTGGTCATCACAGGGAGCCTCCAGGAGCACTCAGTAATCACCACACGGGATCAGACCAGTCTTGTAGCACAGATAACTCTGACTTGGCCCTGTTCAGGCTCTCTCTGTGAGGAAGGCAGGGTTTGGCACAGCT